GATGGTCTCTCACTGAACCTGGGACTCATCAATCCTGCTAGGCTGGCTGGCCAGTGAGCTCCAGGGATTCGTCTGTCTCTATTCTTTTGCTCGGCATTGGAGTTGCAGATGTGCTACCAAGTCAGTTTTATATGGGTTTATGGGGATCTGAACTAGGGTCCTCATGCTTGCGACAGGCACTTTATCCACAGAGATATCTCCCCCAATCTGCCACCCCCTCAAAAAAAAAACAACTTAATAAAGAGCGTACTTATTCATCTGAGAAGCAAAAAGGGCCACAGAAACAGAGAGAAGCCAGTTCCAAGACTGGGTGGCTCCCTGGGGAATGTGGAACTATATTCCACCCTCCATGCTTGCAGCTGGCTTCCTGGTGCCTGGAGCAGGTGACTCTTGCTTCTCAGTTTGCCTCCTAGCTGACATGACAGACCTTCTAAGGTGCTATGTGATCAATAGTTAGACTATTTTTAGCCGGAGGTATTTTTATCGTTTCATATACTCCTGAAGAGGTTTATAAATCAGTAATGTAAAAGGAAATTTAAATAACTTGTTCGAGTCTTCCTTTGGGAAAGGGAAGCCAGCTGGTGTGAATGTAATTTTTAAGACAGGAATCCAGTGTAGATCCCACCCTACTCCTGTAGGGGGTGACTGTGGTTTATTCATTGGCTTATGCCCCAAGACTGATCTAGAAAGAAATAAAGGAAATGAAGGGTCTCTCTCTTGGTTGCGATGCTCGGCTAGAGCTGTGGTTGTACATTTGTTCTTCATTAAGAATTCGTTAGGTCTCTGTTATCTCCTGGACTCCTGTGGACTACACACAGAGTCCCGGGTGGTTAATCTTGATGGTCTACTTGATGGGATTTAGCATCACCATGGAAACAAATCTCTGGGCACATCTGTGAGGGATTATCTCAGTTAGGGTAGCTGAGTGGAAAGATCCAAATGTAGGCAGCAGCCTTCTCTAGGCTGGGGTCCTGAACTGAATAAAAAGGAGAAGGTGAGCTGCAGACCAGCGTGCGTCCCCTTGTGCTTCCTAACTATGGATGCCATGGACCAGCTGCATCAAGCTCCTGACGTGATGAGATTCTCACCAAGAGATGGCATCCTCTGGGTCTGTGAGCCGAAATAAACGTTTTCTTCATTAAGGTGATTCTGTTATTTATTTATTTATTTATTTATTTATTTGGTTGCAGCAAAACAAGTAATTAATATGCTCCCCCTACCCCAATGATTTTATGATGAAATGGGTTAGTCCCACAACTGGTCTCCTGTGGTGTGTGCCCTAACAGGGTAAAGGGTAAGTGGGAGTCCACAGCCCTCCATCACTACACATGGGGTTGTGCCTGGGAATGGATCCTTCAGGGAGAGCATTAAAACAGGGGGTTAGGGAGAGATTCTGGCTGAGAGAACAGCATATCACAAGATAAGACTCTGGCTCTCTGGCTCTCTGGCTGGGTTCTGGAATGAAGGAAGTCAGAAAGATAAGAAACGGTTTTTGATAGCAAGCTGTAATAGGTGATAAGGACCATACATTGCCCCTCTTTAATAATGTATTAAAGTTCAATGAAGGCAAATTGTGAATATCGTAATATATTAGTGTTCACCTCTGGCAATCCCCACCTGTGAGTGTGTGTGTGTGTGTATGTGTTGTCTGCCCCTGTGTGTGCAAGAGTGTTTGAAAGCCCATAGTCAACCTTGGGTATAGTCCCTCAGGTGCCGTCAGCCTTGTTTGTTTGAGGCAGACTCTCATTGGTCTTGGGCTAAGTAGGCTAGGATGGCATGCCAATGATCCCTGTAGATCTACTTGTCTGTCTGTCTCTACCTCCCCTGTGCTGGGTTGGTAAGTGGGAGCCACCACACACACCTAATTTTACTCACTGAGCCATTCCTCACTGTTTCTGTCACTTTCTAAATGTGTTGATCACATGACAGTGCATTTTGAGTTTTCCAAGGTTAGCTGCCTTTAACTCATCTCTGAAGAAGTAATTGGGGGGGGGGCTTCAATCTCTAAAAAACCGTAAATTTAATAGGTTGGTGGGGTGGTTCAGCGAATTAAAAGTGTTTGTTACCAAGCCTGAAGACCTGAGTTTGAACCCCAGAATCCATGTGGTAGGAAGAAAGAACTCACTTCTGAGAGTTGCCTTCTGACCTCGACATGTGCACCCTAGCATGTGAATGAATGCGTGTGAGAGAGCATATGCCCATGTACACACACACACACACACACACACACACACACACACACACACACACACACACAAACACACATACACACACACTAAATGAATAAATTCAGTAATAAATAAAAGTAATGTTACTCAGGTTGCACAGTTTATGGCCATCCAGTAAATGAGTGAATACATGAGTAAGCAAATTTTTTTCTCACTGAAGTTCTGGCTGCATAGACAAGGCGTTCCCCTCTGTGCCTTTTTCAGCTGTGCTGAGTTCATAATGCCTTTGAGTCCTGGGGCTGAATCAAGAGTCCCAGGGCTGCAAATCACTGCATAGAAATGAGCTTCAATGTCAATCTCTTGCACCAGTAACTGGCATCTTCCCCTTTTAGAGTCCAATGTTGTTTTTAATAGGTATAGCTTCCATAAAATTTTGGATTTAATAATAGTTTACCCTTCTTTTATAAATATAAGTGACAAGACAACCATGGGACAGGAAGTGATTTCGGAGTGGTTAAGGAGATTCACACACACACACACACACACACACACACACACACACACACTCACTGACTGAATTCCATTAAGGTTGGCTCTTATCTTTGCATCTGGCCTGCCAGAGCTTTGTGCAGTATTCTGACTCAGCAGGGCAAGAACCTAGATTAAAACCATGAAGGGAGCTTCACCACTCTGTGGAACTGTGTCACATTCTTCTTCTTCTTAAGCATAAACCTTTGTCGGTGGATATTTCAGGATCTACCCTTTGTATGATCTGACTTAGCCGCCACACAAAAGGTATTAACTGTCTGCACAAACCACAGATTTTATGAAAAATAACCATTTCCCTCAAAAACAGTTTAGCTAAAAGAGGGGCATTGCCTTACATGTATCACGGGCACTCTACTTTTAAAGTTTTATTTATTAGTATTGTTGCATGTGTGGGAGAGTGTGGAGGTCAAAGAACGACTTCTGGAGCTGGGGTTCTCCTTTCTTTGTGGGTTCTGGAGACCAAACTCAAGTTGAGGGCTCATCCTGCAAGCTCTCTTACCACTGAGCCTTCTCGCCTACCCTCCGAATACTGTGAATATCTCTCTTCTTCGAGCACAGCTAGACTTTAGTAGTTCTATATTCAGCTTGGTACAAATTTATTGTTTGAGTGAAAACAGATGTAAAAGGCAATGGGGTCACATAGAGACCTTGTGAGCCCGCTGAGGGGTATTTTAATCTTTATAGGCAGCGGCAGATGATACTCGGCCAAAACTCGGCCAAACTTGTTAGTGGTCGTTTCTAAAAGAGTGACTATGCTGTGGAATCGGAAGCCAGATCATGAACGTCTTGTTCTCTCAATTGTTCTGTTGGGTACCTTGAACAAGTGTTTTACAGTTTGGAGTATAATTACCAAAGAAATTATAAATGCAATGTGGTTAGCCCCTCCCCACACCTCCTGCCTTTTGTTGGTTTGTTTTTGAGGCAGAGTCTCATGTAGTCCAGGCTGGCCCCAAACTCACTAGGTAGCTGATGATGACTTGAACTTCTCTTAAAAATTTTTTTATTAATTTATTTTTTACATTCCAATCCCAGTTCCCCCTTCCTCCTCTCCTCCCACTCCCACTCCCCCCACCTCCCATCTGCTCCTTGGAGAGAGTAAGGTTCCCCCTAGGAAATCTATCCCATTATCTCATTGAGGCAGGATCAAGGCACCTCTCTACCCCCCACACCCCTGAGTCTAGGCTGAGCAAGGTATCTCTCCATATAGAATATATTGTCCCAGCCCCATCATTGTCACCTATATTAAGGGAGTCTAGTCAGTCTTATGCAGGTTTCCCATTTGTCAGACCTGAGTCAGTGATCTCTCAGTAGCTCAGGTCAGCTGATTTTGTGGGTTTCCCCGTCATGGTCTTGACTCCTTTGTTCATATTTTTGCTCCTCCCTTACTTCGATTGTATTCCAGGAAGCATCGGCTTCCTCTATTTCTGGAAGAGGGTTGTAGCTTCTCTGGGGTTGTGGATTGTAGGCTGGATATCTTTTGCTTTATGCTTGGTATCCACTTATGAGTGAATGAATACTATATTTGTCTTTCTGGTTTTGGGTTACCTCACTCAGGATTTTTTTTTCTAGTTCTTTCCATTTGCATGCGAATTTTAGGATGTCGATATTGAACTTCTAATCCTTCTTCCTCCAGCTTCTAAATGGTGGGCTTACAGACATGCACCGCCATGCCCAGTTTTGTGTAGTTCCAGGGATCAAACCCAGGGCTTTGTGTATGCTAGGACAGCACTCTACCTACTGAGCTACAGCCTTGGACTAACCTTTACTCTTCCCTATCCAGAAATCCCATGCCATTCTTTAGGGAAATAAAGGTGTGGATTCCAGTACCCAGTAGTCTCTCCTATCATTTTTCCTAAGTCTGGGGTCCTCATGATCACCTATAAGCCTCTGAGCTCTTTTCTCTATGTGCACATGCTGGTACAGGCTCAGATCCATCTTAATCTACCTGGACTCTGATTCCCAGGTGTCTCTGTGGCTTCTTCCTTGGGACTTCCTTCAGGTATCTCAACCTAAAAGGTTGATCTTGATTTTGCTTTCTGAAATATTAACTCCCCCCCCACCCCGTCACTTTGTCACCTTGTACCTAGTTTCAGTGTTAACATATCTCCTGACATACGCATTTATTTTGACATTCTGTGGTGACTGTCTCCCTCTGTCAACATGCTATCTTATTATCTTATCCCTTTGTCATTGCCATGGCCATTACGACTGATGCATTGTAGGTGTCTGTCAGTAGGCAGTGAATGGATGACTTCCAATGTCACTTTGTGTTTGTCGTTACAGAGAAGTTGTCACATTCAACCATTTCCTGGAAGCGGCTGCTGAGAAGGAGGTTCAAGGGAAAGCAAGGCTCCAGGACTTCATTGAGAACCTCTTGCAACGGGTAGAACTGGCAGAAAAGCAGCTGGAGTACTATCAAAGCCAGCAGGCCTCCGGCTTCAGCCGTGACACTAGCAAGCACGTGGTGAGTCCAACCCAGCCAGCCTCCAGCCGTGGTCCCCTTGAGTCCACTGGGGATGGATCCAGACAGAGCTAGGGCAGAAGGGAGCTGTGGAATCCACAGGGGCTTCCTAGGTATCATTTGAAGTCCTGGGCCAGGCTGTGCCTCTGTCTGGCCATGGTACCATGGCTCCAGGAGGAAGCTAAGTTGAGGGCACACACTTCCCTGCTCTTCTTTGAACTCCATTCCAAGATGAATTGATAGAGATAATTTTTATACTTGTAAAGTAACAAAGTTGGAAATGTCTGAGCTCTAGTCTTAGTTTTCAAGTAGACCAGAAGATATCCAGGGTTAAAGCTCTTCAAGATAATATTCTGGGGATTATCATTTCAAGAAAGCAAGATCCAGCCATATATACTCAGTTCTTTACAAGGGAGGAGAATGCTCTTCAACAGTGCTCATAAGTAAAACTTCCTTTGAGTGGCTGTTCAAAAAGAATCCATGGCAGGTGATAGGTCTCAGTATACTCCTCCATACAGAGGCTTCAGAAGCTTCAGAAGCCTACCACCAGCCTAAATGAAGTCCCCCTAGGTGTTTAGGAATCCAGGTGTTGTTAAGTGGCTTGATCAAGACTTCTGGCTTCTGAAGGACAATAGGATGTCTGACCACGTTCCAGGCAGGGTGAGTATATGGTCAGATCTGCCTGCTGTACAGTTCAACCTTAGAAGAATGAAGAGATGAGTAAAATAAAATAAGAATCAGTTTCAGGAAAATCCCAATAATGTCTTACTTAGTTATAGTATGCCCTCTCTTGACTAGCAGCAGCTGGAGGGACACTCTGAGTCCTCTTGGCCACCTTCTTGCATCATTCCCTCTCACAGGGAAGGGCTGTGGCCTGAGGTCATGGAGCACAAATGTCAGGTGAAAAAGCTTGGCTTTTGGAACACTCTTAACTTGCTTCTTTCTTGCTGAGTCAAGACAGTTCGCCTTCCTGGACCTGAAACTCTTCTGGAAAATGAAGTGAGTGAGGCCAGTGCTCTCAAAGCCCTTTTGGCCTCTTAAGTTATCAGTTCACCCATGATGTTTTGAAGTCTTGAAGCTGTATACAGCATTAACATTTTTGGTATGTAGGTGGATAAGTTACCCCAAGCATAGGCATGTGTAAAACCCTGCACTCTGCCAATGGTGTCTTAAAAGAGAAAACAGTGGAGCGTGGAAGCCAGAAGTGTTCCCTCTTTTTATATTTCTGTGCTCATGCCCTTTGCTCAACTTATTTTCCCAGCTTGAAAGTTGAGTCTTTCACATATATTTAATCTTGAAATAAAAAGTTGAATAGTATCCCCTGTCTTCTGGTCAGGTATACATTTGCAAAACTGTGTACATGAAATGTATGTATACGTGCACAGATGTATGTATACACACACACACACACACACACACACACACACACACACATGAACACGTGAAAATTCACACAATGTACACTAACAAATCCATTCACACACAGTAGGAAATTAAGTATTTATGTTTGTCTCTTTTATGGTTCAACCACATGATCTGCTGTAAGCCAGCTGGCTCAACCTAAGGAAGCATTGGCTAATCCAAATGCTATTAAGTGCAGTTGAGACTCTAATGAGCAATTTAGATATGAGAGCTATGTGACTAGCATGATCAGCCTAATTGTTGTAGTTTGGAGCTCTGGTCTGAGAAAGACCCAGAGAAAGGAGTGATTTCAGGAGGGATTAGGCACATGTATTGATGGTTTATCCTCTTTGTTTTGTACTTCCTCAACCTTCCATGGGTCAAGTTGGGTAGTCTGCAGACCTATATTAGGTGCTGTTTCTCTCTCTCTCTCTCTCTCTCTCTCTCTCTCTCTCTCTCTCTCTCTCTCTCTCTCTCTCTCTCTCTCTCTCTCTCTCTCTCTCTCTCTCTCTCTCTCTCTCTCTCTCTCTCTGTGTGTGTGTGTGTGTGTGTGTGTGTGTCATTGTAGTCATATGCACCAGCCTATAAAATCAGGAGCTATGACTTTGATATAGTAAGAGAGTTAGGTCTTCTCTCCCACACTCTCTGTGGCTATGAACTGTTGTGGGATATTATTGTAACTGGGCCAAGATGTGTTCCATTTGTTTATGCTGTGGAATATTACTTTAACTATGTGAAGGTGTGTTCCATTTGTTTCTGCTGCTTTTGTTAGCCTTGTAAAAATGTGCTGTATTGGCATTAATTAAATCAAACTAACCTGGGCTCAGAGAGGCGGGGTTAGCGACTGGTTGACAGGAAGTAGCAGGGAGGAGTTTAGCCTGTTCATTTTTTTTTTTTTTTTAAGTTGGGGAATGACTTCCCAAGACACCAGCAAAGAGAGAAAGTTAGCCAGTTGCTGTTCTAATTCTCTGAGCTCACAGGTTTTTCATCCTAGCCTTTGTTAGAAATTTAGTAAGAACTACCTTTAGTGGAAGCAACCAGAGCCATTGTGTAGGGAAACAGAACTCCCCCAGGCTATGGCCTTAGCAGCTGGCTGCTAGTAGTTTGAAGCCTAGTCACTGTAACAAAGGTAAAACAGCAACAGAGATGGAATAACTTGGATGCATTTGGGAAGGAGAACTTTGATTATTTGGCACAGCTTAGTGTGTTGCAGAGCACACATCTGACCCAGGCTTCCCGAGTCACCCAGAACAGTTACTTTACTCAGCGCCACCGAGAACAAGCAGACGTTTTGCCAGACTCTCCCACATCTCATCTCTTCCGGCTAGTACCTTCATGTGCTTCTCCAGGGTGATTAGGAAAATTGCTGCCCCCAGTCCTGCCGTCACTCCTCATTACAGGCTGCACACTGTGGATCCCCCTCTCTCTCACTACCCACTCCTGTCCCCTTTCCCCTAGACACACTCCAGAGAGAAGGACCATCCTTACAGTGCTAGGTGGCTTGTTTCTTCCAGAAGGTGACTATTAGCATTGTGTCCTGTGCTGTGGGAAGCTTCCTTCTCCCTACCTTTTGAGCTCTTTCTGAAACAATGTTTGGCATCCTGCATCTTTCCCTGAATCCCCTTGAGCATTTATGTTCTTTTTCACCTGACCGATTTCTAAAAATACAGTATGCTTACTCAGATACTTTATCTTTGTGCTCTAAAAAAAAAAAAAAAATGCTGTCAAATCAGACACAAAGTGACCTAATATCCCATCTGCCAAAAAACATTCTCAGAACCACTCAGACAGAGGATTGTGAAACAGCTTGGATAATCTTGTTTAAGTACTGTGTTCATTTCCTCCAGGCTGCTAAGTGAGGGGGAGGACTAGCAGCCATTCGTTTAACACATATTTATTGAGGGTAAACAGTGCTGATGCCATGAGCAAGGTCCCTTTTCTTTTGTGTGGAGGGGATAGCAAGCAAGTCAATAATGCCATTCTTTTGCAAAGTCAGGAGATGATGAGGTGACAACATTAGAGGTGTTTGGGGTGGAGAGATGCTTTGGGGCGATGGAGAAAAAGAGCCCTACCCTGCACTTGGCCTGGATAACATGAGGATACAGCTCTGTGGAAAGTCAAAAGCAGGATGTTCTAGGCAAGGATACTGCCATGCAGGTGCTAGGAAGGAGCAAGTTTGGCATGGTTGAGTGGTAGAAGGCAAAGTTGCAGGTCACAGGAGAGGAGTTTAGATCTATTCCCAGTGCTCAGGGAAGGTATGGGAAGGCTTCCAGGATGGAAGGGCAGCAGAATGAGAGAGACTAGGGAGACTAGGATGCTGTTATGACTGGAGGTGAGAGGTTGTGGCTGGGAGGGAGCAGCAGAGGAATAGAGAGGTGATCGCTTGAGATGCACCCTGCAAGAGGCCAGTGGGTGCTGCTGGAGAACCAGACTGAGAAGGTGTGTGTGTGGGGGGGGGCAAGGTGGCCTGAAGAGACATGAGACCAAATCTTCCACCAATACTAAGCCTGTCATATTTCCCCTGGTCCAAATTCCAAGGAGGCCTTTCTCCCACATATTTGTTTTCGTCTTTCTCCTTTTTGAATCTTCCTGGAGTTGTGACATGACTCCATCCTAGAGAGAGCTGGTTTAGGGAGGTTGGGAACCTAGGGCTGGCAGTACCCTGGGCTTCCCCATCAGTGGAATATGATGACATCTGGATCACAATATGATAATCATCAATTTATGCTGCTAGTGAAGGCACTCCGAGCCCAGCCACAAAGTACAGGCAGATATTTTATTACATGGGCTATTAGGAACGGACATCATCGCGATGGTAGATGGCCTTGGGGACATATGTGGGGTTGGTCTTCATATGTTCTCATTTTAGAAATGATATATTTAGGAAATAACATTTGATGCTCATTTCCTCTCAGTTGGTACTTTGTGACTAGCTACAGCTGTACTAAATCAGCTGCAAATACAGCCAGATCCTGAGAAATAATGACACATTGTGCTGGGTTTTTAAAACATGTTTTTTCCAACACAGATTTATTGGGAAGCTTTTTGATTTATTTTTTTTTTTTTTGGAAAGTTTTGAGATATTCTGATACAAACTTCTTGGGAAACTGAGAACAGGTGTTCACAGAGGCTCCCCAAGTAAGTTGATCTAGGATGCTGCTGTTCTTGGATGCAAGCGATTGGCTCCCTAGGTAATGCTACCAACTCCTTACAGAACTCCTTAATGAGGATTTAGTGACTTAGAGAAGACGGAGTTTTAAAACCACGTCCAGGAGCTGAGGAGATGTACTTGCTGTGCAAGCATGGGGACCTGAATTCAGATCCCCAGCACCCACATAAAACATGGAGCATGGCTCTGTGTACCTGTACCTCTATACTGTAGGAGTGGTGGTGCAGGAGACAGGTGGACCCCGGGGACTTCCTGGCCACCAGCCTAGATGAAAACAATAAGTTCCAGGTACAGGTAGAGACCCTGTCTTGAGAGAATAGGGTGGAGATTAACATAGGAAGACACCCAGTGTCTTTCTCTAGCTGCTGCATGA